GCAGGGCGGCTGGCAGCGCTGGCTACGGCACAGGCCCCACAGGCCGCTCGGCCCTGGCGTTGCCACTGCGTCGGCCGGCCCGGCCCAGCCCTGTCCTGTTCTGCCTAGGGCCCGGCGCGGGGCCGTTACCACGGGGCGGGGGAGGGGCGCCCGGTCCTCCCTGCAGCCCCCTTGTGCCGCCGGGGCTACTCCCGGCTTCTCGCCACCTCTGGGCCTCCTTTCTCTTCCTCCCCGTCCGTCCGCGCGCCCGCCCCCTGCCCCGAGCGTGGCGCTTCCTGCCCACGTGGGGGGGCGGTGACTCGCCGCCCAGCTCAGCCCTCTTGCTCGAGGACCCCTTGTTCCTCACCTGTCCTTGCCGTCATGCGCAGGGTGGGCTGCCTTGCCCTGCCCTGCCATTGCCTCGCCACTGTCTCCACATAGGCCCGCCCCTCTACCCCTGCCCCGAGGGGTCGGGGTGAAACCCGGGGCCTGCCGCCTCCTCCCTCCCTGCAGTGTAGTTTTGGTAGTGAGTGGCTCTACTGTTGGAGCTGCTTTCCTTGCAAAGGCTGTTTTCATTCACTTCTTAATTGCAGAAATTAAACTGGTACAGTCCCTCTTATGGGCATGACAGGTGCCTCTGGGCTAGCGAATCTCTTCCCTGATTAGGAGTTGGACATGCTCAGGAAAGTGCATTGGTGGGAGCGCAGAACCTCTTTGATTACACGAGTGTAGTTACAGTGTTACAGGGCTCATGCATAGACCCATTCTTCATCTTGCTTTTCTCCTACTTGTTTGATTGGGGGTTGTTGTCACCCCTTGAAAACCAGTGGACTGAGAATGGAGTGATTTTTCGCTTGACACCAACATATTTGTTCCTTATTTTAATGATTTTTTTATTACACTTGGTTGACACCCCTCTGAGGTTCATTTCATAGAAGCTTAAATGTAGAACTAAATTATTTAATCTTTTGAGCTGGACTTCCAAAATTTGACTCAAGTTGGTGAGTGTGTGAATACTACATTTTGACAGACAAGTAGAACAGGGCTGTTTTTTTAGATCATCATTTTACTGTTTGTAGGGCCTGCAGGCAAGTAGTATTTGCTTCTTGCTGACTGAAGTGACAAGCTGAAAAAATAGGCCATCATCTTGAAAGTCCTGCTTCTTCTAACACTAAGATGTGATTTCATTTGTGGTTGACCATGCAGATCTCTTCTTTGCTTATAGACTGTATTCAACAGTAAAGTTGTTAATTGGTGTTGGCATTTGCATAATCATTCTTAGGTTGCAACTTTACCACCCTTTTTAAGAGTGGGATAGTTGTTGCAGGTTCTTTGCACACTTAGGCAGCCAGAGCTTCATTTGTTTATGTAGCACTTGCTGTTTAAAAAAAATAAAATAAAATAATTTCTACCATTGCAGTTAGATTTCCTGCTGCCTTAGACTTTGTCTACAGTGGTTCTTTTAGAAAACTTAAATCATTGTTGAGAGCAATATTATATTGCTTGTTTTTATCTGGACTGGGTTAGTGGTTGCTATAATGTGGCTTGACCTTGTCTATTATACTGATGGACAAGTCTCATAACTCTGTTAATCTGCATTAGAATTTATGTCTGATGTTCTGCCATAAGGTTGATTAAAATCATTACTAATTTTTTAAAAATAATATGATTTCTTGTTATTTATATGTTGCTAATCCTTTCCTTTTCATTTTTAATTTTTGCAGTACAGCTTCTGAGCTTGAGTTCCATATTTATTATCTGAAATTCTAATACTATAGGTATATCATTTTAAAAGATTTGCATGTAAAATGGTTATATCTCCTGAAACAGTTTAGATCCTCCTTGTCATCCTTACCAGGAGAGTACCACAAAATTGATAAGCAAATAGTTTGTGCTGTTTTTGCAGCTAGCATTCCCTTCCAATACGTTGCAGTTTCATAAAGTTGAAGCTGAAACATTTTGGCTAGATTATACTCTTTAGGCTTTGCAGTTGGAAGTTGTGTCCCAGAGTCACTCTGTGCCACAGGCACAAAGGATGTGAGTGCCTAGTTCTTGTTGAAATCAGTAGGATTATCAGTGTTACCTAAACACCTTTGAGGACCTAAGCCTTTTTTTTTGTGAGACACCTTTTTCAGTCTTTTGTCTTGTATATTAAGAAGACAAGCTCCCATGATATATTAACTCTCAGTTGCTTTTTATTGTTAAAACGGAAGTCATTTTATTTGAGGTGACAGAGACAAATAAGATTGCCTGCATAAGTGCTTGCAGAATCTAGGCCTAGCTTTCAGTATTTTGCATTTTGCTAATGGCAAGTTTGAAAAATGTTATTCCCAACTAGTAATGGTATTAAAGAAATGTAACTTTATCATTTAGTTAATTACAAATTATAATTTGAGGCTGCAACTTCAACATCATTTTTACAGAATTTCAACTTGATTTTTAAATCAGTGATTAAAATGCTACATCCTATTCTTAGTTCTTGAAAAGCAGTTTAGGGTTGGATTTGTCAAGTGCCTGTACAAGTGAAACAATGAGAATTAGGGCTGCTCTAATAAACATCCTCTACTGCAGCTTAGGGGCACTTCTGATCACATTTTATTCAGTCTGTGCTCTTGTTTTTTCTCTTGAGCCTTTGATGAAATTCTTGAGTGAGGGGAATATAAATCTGGCAGGAACTGATTTGATCACTGCATCTGCAAATGCCATGCACTTGTCATAAAAATGCATGTGCTGGGAAAATTGTGGTTATTGCATGGGAAATAAAAGTTTGTGTTATAAACCTTGGTCTCTTTACTGATGGCATTTAGCATGTAGTTATAATGAAATAAAATTGAAAAGGTAGTACATAGAGTTGGGGAGGGGAAAACCAAACCCACCTCCCCACTGGCCATGAGATGTTTTTGATAAAAGTTTTATTTTCACTTTTTGTGCATGCCTATATGCAGATGGAATATTATTACAGGAAAATAATGATTATGTGAAAATACTAGATTATATCTACATCTACTATTGAGATCTGACTGTGCTTTGAACTAGGTAGTGATCTAGCTTTTTAGGGAAAGTTGAGATTCTTAGTTTTTTGCTACATGGCACTCAGGGTATATGGCAGTGCTGCATGTCTGCATGGCTAATATGAAAATCATGTACTTACTGCTTCCTGACTAAAGCTTTTTTGATCTGTTGCCAGTATCACCAGAGCAACCCTTCAGCTGCTTTGGCTAGAATGACTGGCTGACAGACAGACAGACAGACAAGGGGTCCAAAATGAAATGTAAACTCTTCTTTAGAGTATGGGAAATCAATGAACCTGGCAAAATGAAAAGGCCTTGTGGGGGGTCAAATCATGCATTTTTCAGAATCCTGAAATATAGAATTGGGGTGATGATGGCCGAAAAGATTGGATGCACTTAGTCATACTAGCAAAAAGCTAGTTCTTCTGTGGAAGTAATAGGCTGACTATAAAATATTCAAATGATGTATGAAAGCTTGAAAGTTTATTTGCAAGTAGCTAATGAGTTAAGTGGGTGATCAGGGGAGCAGCCAAGTGGGAATTCCTGTTTACCCAGGAAGAGTGATTGTAGAAGGTGATTCCCTAAAGTGGGAATCATTATTGGGTTGGATTTTCCATTACAGCACTGTCTTCCTTCTCTGAAGAGCTTGCTTTTCAGTAGGGTTATAGTCCCAAATTCTTCAAAGGGAAAGGAGATGGTGTTTATATCATCTTGTGGTTAGTATATAACTTGTGTGCACCAAGACGCTTTTTTTTAGGGGTGCACCAATACAGATTTTTGGGGCCGATATGGATAACCAATTTTTAAGGAGGCATGTTGGCCAGTACTAATCCAATTTCTGATACCAGCCTGGCAGCTTGAAGAGCTGCATGCAGCTGGTAAATCTGTTGTGGTGGAAGGGGAGGGGGGAGGGAAGGGGTGGTGGGGGGCAGATCAAGACCCCCACGGTGAGGGAGCAGCAGGGCAGGGGCTGGGTCAAGCACTGCCCAGCTAGGGTGGGGTGTGGGACAGAGCTGCAGTTCATCCGGGGGGGCAGCTCCTGCTGCTGCACGCCGCTCGTCTGGGAGCTGCTGGTCCGGTGGCTTGTCTGGCATTCGCTCGCAAGCTCCTGGGGCTCATCTGGGGGAGCATGTGCCCCTGGATCTGCATGGGGCCAGTTGGGCTCTTTCCAGTGGGGCAGGCCTGTGCTTGGGTCAGGCGGTGGTGGTGCTGGCGGGGGGGGGGGTACAGC